AGTGTAATTTATAGATTGTTAGGGGGGCAACTGCACCCCTAATCAACCATATACATCCACTCCTGGAAGCAATTATCCATTCTGTATCGTTTGCCTAAAAAAGAAAACATTCTGATAATATCCTAGTTATGTTCAAATCACACATATTCTTTTCTTGAATAAGCCACATAGTATGCACAAGAATATTGGGAAAAAGTTGTTTCCAATGCAAACTGACATGCCACTATATATTATTATGAATGAATAATTAAAGGTTTGGGAAAATTTGTCCTTTACATTTGCATTGCAGCAGACATAGTTTTTGCTTGGATTTTCCTGGCTAAACTTGATTATCTGGACTCTGGAGATTGAATAAAGATGTTACTTGGTCGAGATTAATCTGACATGCAAGTTTGATGTGTACACAGGTTTTTCTAGAGAATATAGCATATCCATTATTAGAAGGATGTGCTCTTTTTCTGTTAGACTGGTTGATTGAAGGACAGAGAGGATATTTGGAAACAAATCCTTCAACTTCACCCGAACATTTGTTTATTGCACCTGACGGCCAGACTGCAAGCATCAGTTACTCAACGACCATGGATATGGCTATCATCAAAGAAATATTTTCTATCATTACATATGCTGCGGAGGTGAATATAACTTTTAGAATTTAGTCCTACTTATCAGGCTAGATAACTTTTGGTGTACAAATTTTCTTATTTCTCGTATCAGATTCTTGTTCAAAGGTTATGGAATAAAAGTTAAAAATCAGATTTGTTTTGTGATATTAGGTTTTGGAAAAATCTGATAGCTGTTTAATCAATCAAATAAAGATAGCACTACTGAAGTTGCCACCCACACGAATCTCTTGGGATGGTTCTGTTATGGAATGGGTAATGAACTGGTCATTACTTGTTTTCACTTGGTTTCTGTGTCATTACAATTGTAAAGACTTTCTTTCATAATGGTGGTTTTCATGTTTCGTGCTAGCCATAACTCCTACATGTAACTTTTGGCAGGCACAAGATTTTGAGGATCCTGAAGTTCACCATAGGCATTTGTCACACTTATTTGGTCTTTTCCCAGGTCACACGATGACACTGTGGAGTACGCCTGATTTGTGTAAAGCTGCTGCCAAAAGCCTCTACAAGAGAGGTTTGTCGATCAAGCATTTATTGAAAGTTTAGTTTGATTGCTCTTTCCAGATTTTCCATATATTAGTATCTCAAAAATATTGTGTGAAAGTTACGTGAGCATTTCATGAGTGCAATTTGATCTGGAGGCTGATGAAGACAACTTGCATAAATATTTACTTTTCCATACAGTATTCGTATCTTGAAGTGAAACAGAAAAATAGAGAGATGACATGTTAACATGGTTATGCGTCACATAATATAGATAGAACAATGAATAATATTACTTATAAAATGCTTAACCACATCCATTTTGCATTGTCAATATTTACCCTGCATTTCCACTTGAGCTATTTGTCTCCCTTATATACAATTAAATCTCCTCACTCTAATATATTTCTACCCATTCATTTTTTTCCTTTGATCAATTGCCTATTCACATGTGAATTATGAATTAGCATTTAATAATAAAAAGGAACAAATCCAAATAGAACTGAATGGAAGAAAAATACTTGTGTAGCTGACACCAATAGTTCAGATGAAGACATTTCTGCTGGTACACCCCAAAGTTTCGGATAATCACTTTTTTGCTGCTGCTATCATTATGTCAGTTGTGGAGTTTCAGTTGGCAACTATACTAGCCAAACTGCCTCGATGACATACACCAAGTTTTTCATGAAACATGTAAAGTCTTTTACCCTTAATCCTTGAGGTTATGGAAGTTTCACATATCGTTCCCCTACAATTGTCAGTTGCCCTTAATCCTTGAGTTTATCAAAGTTATTATTCTAGATACTTTACTAGCATGCATCAAAGAGCACACACACAGCACACTTGGGCACGACAAAGGGTTCCAAATGAGCCCCCTTTGTCAGCTACACTTGAAGTATGAATGTCTTTGAAGATAGTATCACCTCAAAGATCGATGATCAATGACATCATAGTAGTTCCTTTTCTGGGCTAGTGAGCTAAATAACAGATGAGGTGGCCATAATATGCGTCGAAATGCTTGTGCATAAGCACAATTATGAAATCTTTTCTTAACCAAATTTAATTGTTTCAAATAAAACCATGTGACTTGAGAAGCTTAGGGAATTTCTATCACTGGATATAGTACGTCAATGCTCATCAATACGCGTTGTTATAGAAAGCGCCACACTACAAGAAATTACATTTTTAACTAAGGGATTTCCCTTCGTTAAAGAGCTGAAAACCTTCGTTATTGTATGCTAACGATAGGAAAAATCCTTTCGTCACCTGTCGTTGAAGCCCTCCTCGCTAAAGGGTCATGAAGGGATATACTACCCGTCGTTATAGAGTCTATAACGACGGAACATATTACCGTCATTAATATTTACGACGGTAATTATCACCGTTTGTTACCATCAGTGACGGGGATATTTTCCCGTCGTTACCATCAGTGACGGGATATTTTCCTGTCGTTACCATTAGTTACGAGGATATTTTCCCGTCGTTATCATTAGTTACAGGGATATTTTCCGATCGTTGATGACTAATTAATGACGGTTGGATACCGTCGTAAAAGTCCTCATAATGAGTAATTAGTAACCCATTAACGACGGTACTTTACCTTCGTTGATGAACAAAATACGGTTTATAAAACTGTCATTGTAGACTACAAATTTCTAATATACATTAATAATAATTTTTTCATTCATAGGCAACTATCATATTATTCTCAATCTGATACTAAGATTCACAACAAAAATATATTAAAAATACCCAATAATGAATAAGAGGGAAAATAAAAATTTCATTCATTAATAACACCAATAAATAAAATTTCACCATCCTCAAATATTCAATACTAATAATAAGAGTTAATATCCTAATTGTTCCAAAGAAAAATACATGAAACTATCTAAAACAAATTAAAATAAAAGTTTGGGAAGACACATTCTTTCATCTCTAATCATCGTCAAAAGAAGACTCGAGCCACCCCCTCCTAATCTTGCATGGATAGCCTGAAATTTTTTAAAAAAATCACATAATTAAGAAATATCAATTAAGCAAATATTATCTTATTAAGTAAAAATTATATTTTTTTAGTGCAAGTAGTCAATCATAAAAGTATATAAGAGATTTTATAAAAAATAATTACCTAGTCCTGCACACGTTCTCGAGTTTGAGGAGTCAATGAAGGTGATTGCCTAAAAAAAAGTTCTTGCATAGCTTTCACTTGTGACTCCAACCCAGACATCCTTTATTGTTGTTGCTCCTGCTCATCTAAGCGTTGTTGAAGCATCTTGTTCTTTCTTTTTTCTTCTATAACCCGTGCTTCCAGATCAGATCGACTAGGGAGCGATCATCGCAAATCTTTCAAAGTAGTCCCGCCACCAAATACAGTAATGTGATCATGAGATTGCTTTTCCCAGATTTTCTCAACTATCTCAATGTCAGAAAGTGAAGGGTTTGCTTGTTTGACTTGAACAATTTCATCTTATAAAAATTAAATTCATATGTTAGTACTATATAATGCATCATTATCAAACTTAAACACATTCTACTTACATATTTATCTTGATCCCCAGTATCTAGTGTTTTATTAGCTTTCTTTCGAGTTCCATGAAACATTTTTACCACATCAGGTGGATTTCCTGTCTTGCCACCCTTATTCAAATATTAAATAAAAATGAGTACAACATCAAACTAAAAAACAAAGTAGTTTTAAATAAATAGGAAATTAGTTTTGAATGTATACCAATTCCCACGTAATTTGTCTAAAGGGTTTGCTACCCGTATGGTGAAGCCAAGGTTTTAAATGTCGTCCGACATGTCCGACATGTCGGCCGACATATCGGTTTGAGGGCTTGACCGACACGACATGGACGTTTTCAACTTGTATGTCGGTTTTCAGGGTCAAATCGGAAATATCAAGGTTATATCGGGCATATCGGCCTATTTTTTAGCTTTGAAAAATCGACCGATATGATACTTTTTTTAAGATATGTTTCTTGTTATGGGGTTTGGGTTTAGTGATAAATACTCAAATTCTTTTGACTCGTTCTCATGTTTAAGGGTTTCTTATGAACCCGATTGAAAGAATTTATGAACCTAAATCCATATATTATTTACTTTTTTATATGTTTAGTCTATAGAATTTATAAAGTATGCTTATATTAAATTTATGAATGCTTAGATTACATTTAGGATACGATATTATACATATGCGCACTACCCGATATAAAAATCCGATATTTAGTCAATGTCCCCCGATATATCCCGATTTTCGCTATCCGACATGGATTTCAGCCATCCGACATGAACCTGACATCCGACATTTAAAACCTTAGGTGAAGCATCTTTCTTTTGCCTCTGTTAAGTGTATTTTGTTAGCTTGCTTTCTATACATCAAGATTAAAAGATAATTTTAACAATCCAACAATATACATGGAACAAAATTAATAAAATTAGGAGATTAATACCTGAAATTTTGAAGAAAAATAATGTTCCTTAACTAGCCAATCCCAGTCATCAACACTCACTTCTGTAGGTTTATTTCTAAGTGCAACTTGTAATGAATTTTCTTTCACATATTTCCTGTGCATGTTACCACGCCACTTATTCCACAAATCGCGTAAATATCTTATTACTAACTCTCTCTTTTGCTCCATGTCCTCGGCATCAAATTTATCCTATATTCTACTTACATATTTATCTTGATCCCCAGTATCTAGTGTTTCATTAGTTTTCTTTCGGGTTTCATGGAACATTTTTACATATTTATCTTGATCCCCAGTATCTAGTGTTTCATTAGTTTTCTTTCGGGTTTCATGGAACATTTTTGCCACATCAGGTGGATTTCCTGACTTGTCATCCTTATTCAAATATTAAATAAAAATGAGTACATCATCAAACTAAAAACCAAAATAGTTTTAAATAAATAGGAAATTAGTTTTGAATATATACCAATTCCCACGCAATTTGTGTAAAGGGTTTACTGCCCGTGTGGTGGAGCATCTTTCTTTTACCTCTGTTAAATGTATTTTGTTGGCTTGCTCTATATACATTAAGATTAAAAGAGAATTTTAATAATCAAGCAATATACATGGAACAAAATAAATAAAATTAGGAGATTAATACCTGAAATTTTGAAGAAAAATAATGTTCTTTAACTAGCCAATCCCAATCATCAACACAAAGAAATGCTTAATTTTATTTTGAGACTCGTATGTTCAGATATGAGGTCATTCAACATCTAAAGGCAAAGATGTTAACCTAATAGATAGTTATGAAGTGAAGGCCTTAAGATTTAGAATAATGACTAAATCAGCAAGCTAATGAAACTACATAATTTCTTATTAAAACATGATAAAATACAATAACATACTTGCACATCAAAATGTTCCACAAAATACAGTAAAATATCATAAAATACAGTAATCTGACCCTTGGAGGTACTTGAAAGGTAAATGAAACTTTTTTGAATTAGCATGGCAGCCTAGTTGCACAAGAACATAATAGATAGTTATGATGTGTCTATATGTATCAGAAAAATTGATTTAGAAAGTTGGTGTATTACCTTTTCAGAATTGATGGTTTAAGTTTTTGTCCCGGAAGTCTTCCTGATAAAATCAAATGTAATAACTCACTTGAGATGCTTGGCATATCCTTGATGCGATGGGAAAAAACTACAAAGGTTTAGAGCAAATATCTCTCCTTTGTTGTAGATGACAATCTGCATACTTTCTTCTCACTCCAAAAGGTTTCATGTTTCTTTTGCACATTGCTCAATGTTTGAGGCCTACTGGTAGACAGTAAAAGTTAAACACGATGAGAAATGTCTTGCAAAATTCTAAAGAAAAGCTAGAGTTTCAATACCAAGTTCTAAAAGAAAATACCTCTTCTTCATCACCGTCGCCGATGAGGTTTCACAACCTTTTCTCTCAACTGAATCTAATTGGGATCTTTCAGGCTTCTTAACTGAAGCATTCAGTGTTCCAGTTCTCCCGTTGATGGGGGAACATAATAGGACAATTCTTGGACCTTTCTTATTGCTTTTGGTAGCATCACACCAATATCTATTAACCACTTGACATGAGGACAATTCTTGGACCTTTCTTATTGCTTTTGGTAGCATCACACCAATATCTATTAACCACTTGACATGATCTAGAAGCCAAACAAACTGCATGCATCATATCTTGACATAGCATTGATTTCTGTTTTAAACAAACAAATAATATACAATTTTAAACAAACAAATAATATACAAAAAAAAGAAACTAACAGAATTATTTACTGCTCCTCTCTCAAAGAATGATGAAAAAAAACAAAGAATATGTTTTTATAAGTCTCACCAGACAAGTAAATAAGATAGCAGCACTTGTTTTGCATAAAAAGTCTTGGAGTAAACGAGTCAAATTACACAAACAGCTGTATGATTAAAAAAAAAAACTTAAGGGACCTTGAAGTCACCTGAACTAATTGTGTCTACCCACTTCCTTGAGCACCAAAGCAATCACACAACCATTACCTCCTTTGAGAGTTCCCTCAAGGAGAGGTTTAATCTCTTGGGAGAAACTATCATCAGTGGTATCTTCTTGCCCGTAGCACCAATCTAGTTTGTAGCTATCCTTCCGTCTGTAAACAACCCATATTCCAAATCTATATAAAAACGATATCCTCTTAAACTCAGATTATTTTTCAAAATTACCATCACAAAACATTGTCTTAAACACAAAGAAAACCCAAACAACATAAGGTTGCATGTTTGGAGCTCAAATCCAGAGTAATCAACGAAAAGGATCATTCCCTACATATACACAGATTAAAGTCCCTAAACTATCAACATAATTGACATTAAAAATGCAATTAATCAAAAATAGGAGAAAATATATTATCCTATTCTTAAACTCAGGTTATTTCTCAAAATCAACATCAAACAGTTGTCTTCGCAGAAAGAAAACCCTTAAACAACATAAGTCTACAGATTAGGAGCTCAAATTCACAGTGATTAAAAATAAGGATCATTCTCTACATACAAACAGACTAAATTATCCTTAGACCAATCACAAGAAATTGTCATCAAAAAGTACAAAATTAATGAAAATTAAGGGGGAAGATAAGTTACCCATTCGCTTGATCAGGGAAAGAAATAGAGGCGAATTCTCCTTCAGTTCTTGACAACAAGATTTGGGAGATGCTCGACTCTCCATCAGGAGCTTTACCAACCTCTGAATCGAGAAAAGGACGTATCTTACCAACGATCCGAACCTGTCGATACGAATTGGTACTCAATTTCGATCGAGAAGTAATATATGACAAACTAAAATCCACTAAAATCAGAATAATATATGACAAATCCTGACAATAATAAAAACCTAAGTTGAAGACCAGCAGATCTAGACAGAGATAATATATGACAAACATACCGTTAGAAAACAAACTAAAATCCACTAAAATCTCAACAACAATAAAAAATAGTCAGAATAATATATGACAAACGATGGTGCTAGGGCGGCGCTGAGGCAGCACAGGGGTGACGTTGAGGCAGCGTAGGGGCTTGATCTGGGGCGGCGCTGGTGCTAGGCCGACGCTGGCACTAGGGCGGGCGGGCATGACGCGTAGGGGCTTGATCTGGGGCGGCGCTGGTGCTAGGCCGACGCTGGCACTAGGGCGGGCGGGCATGACGAAGATTAGGCGACGCTGGCGCTGGGGCGGGCACGCCGAAGATCAGGCGATGAATATGAGAGAGACGATTTTTTTTCTAGGGCTTATTAGTTTATTAGTTGGGAGGTTTGGGTTTTGGGTTCTTTATATTATTTTGATTAGTACTCATGTTATCATTAGGAATTATGATTAATGAAGGTAATGGACTCATTTATTTTTAAGGAGACCCAATAACGACGGTAGTATGATCAAATCAACGAAGGGATTAGAAAACCGTTATCCCATATCACAATATTTCTCTATTATTTGTAATCACGTTATCCCATATCACAATATTTCTCTATTATTTGTAATCACTCGACGAAGGGTTTAAAACCCGTCGTTATTATATGCACATTAACGAAGGGTTTAAAACCCGTCGTTATTATATGCACATTAATGACGGGCAACTGGTCCCTTCACTAATTTTGATCGTTAAGGACCTGATTTCTTGTAGTGCCAGGACGTAGTGCCAGGCACTTATAGGCGCCGGATGTAGCGCCTAGCGCCTAGGTGGGTGCCTAAGCGGCACGATGTCGAGAGATGAATGATTTTGACCAAATATTCAAAATTCAATCCTCACCATTTTTCTGAGATGATCTGGGATTGAATTCTAATTTGATCCATTTTAACCTAACCTGTTCTCTTCATCCATTGTTATCTTAAGCAGACAGTAAACCCCTTAGATCTAGGCGGGGCCTGTGAGGGCCACTTTTTAAAACATTGTCAATATGGAAACATATCTTCTGAATTTCAAGTTATTTTCTCATCGTGTAAGATTTGACTGGATTTCATGAGTGGTGCAGGAGATGAGGGCCCTGGATGGTCGACTACGTGGAAGATGGCTCTATGGGCTCACCTTCACAACAGCGAACATGCATACAAATTGGTCAAGAAGCTGATCAACCTGGTTGACCCTGATCATGAAAAGGCTTTTGAAGGGGGCCTTTACAGTAACTTGTTCACAGCTCACCCTCCATTCCAGATTGATGCTAATTTCGGGTAGCAATCGACAAACTCAGTCTACGGAACAGATCTTTTATTTGTGTGCACATAAATAACTGATATTGCTTCTATAGTTTTACAGCAGCCATTGCTGAAATGCTTGTTCAGAGCACCGAGCAAGACCTTTATCTACTCCCTGCACTTCCGGTAGATAAGTGGGCAGAAGGATGTGTCAGAGGATTGAAAGCTCGAGGCGATGTTACGATTAATATTTCATGGAAGGAAGGGGTGCTTCACGAGGCCTGTTTTTGTTCGAAGAATCGGAATTCAGTTAGAAGGTTGCATTATAAGGGAAAAGTTGCCAACATAGAACTATCCAGTAACCGCATTCACACGTTTGATAAGCATCTGAAGTGCCTGAGGACACACCCTTCATTGGAAGGAACAACTTAGTCATATGAGACACCAAATGAAGTACACGGTGGTTTGGGTACCAGTTATCTCTGAGATTCAGTGAGAGTACGATAAGGGATTCTTCTGATATGTTTTGTTCGTGTGTACCCCTATTGCTTTTGTAGCCTTTGATTAAAAAAATAAATAAAAATAAAAGTATAGCGACACAAGTCACACAATATAAATATTGGGGATACTGACATGAGCTGTTGTTAAATGGGCTATCTGTAAATAGGAGCGATGGATTCGCACGCTGAGATGAGACTATAGAGGTGGATCTTTATCAGTACGTTTTATTTTTTATATGTTGTTAGGTCAGACCATTTATTTTCATAGTACATACAATTTTAATAATTCTTGACAGAGTACATACAATTTTAATCGCGGTAATGTTATTCATGCCATAGTGATAAGTTTCTTACAATAGTTGCCACTATATTGTTCAAGGTTTGGAGTAAAAGCATGTCCCGTGCAAGCACGAGGGTGGGGATCATCAAATGAGGGGTGTGGGGAGTAGTACCCACGCGTAGGGAAGAGTTGCATTTTATTTTGTGGGTTTACTAAAACACGCGAGATAAAAAAAAAATGATCTCTGAGGGGTAGAAAAAGGACAAATTTTCAAAACCAGCCCTTTTGGTTTTTTATTTGTAAAAAACGACCTATTTCAGTTTTATTTACAAAAACCGACCTGGTTTCAGCCTCAGCGTTGAAACCAGGTCGGTTTTTGAAAAAAAGTTTTCGAAACTTCACGGTAGTTGAACTCCCGTGAAGTTTAGCAGCTTAATTGAAAGCTGCTAAATTTCACGAGAGTTCAACTCCCGTGAAGTTTCGGAATTTTTTTTTCAAAAACCGACCTAGTTTCAGCGCTGAGATTGAAATCAGATCGGTTTTTACAAATATTTTAAAAATGGATCGTTTTTTACAAATAAAAAATCAAAAAGGTTGGTTTTGAAAATTTGTCCGGTAGAAAAACATTTGGGTGATATTTTGTCGCAAAAGAGTTCATGTGCTTTACGCATACCCCGATGCTCGTTACAATTCTCTCGTAATAAATAAAATTACTGCTACTAGAGCCCCACATAGGACGAAAACACCCTACGAAGGCGCATATTAATGATCCAACAAACCATCAACGTTACGGATTGGGGGTTGGTGGATCCAGCTGCACCGGTGGCGTGATGCTTGTTGGACCCCACCCCATCCCATCCATGACGAGTCGTAGTAATAATGCCCTGTCGGGTCCATAATTTTTAAACGCCGATTTCTCACCGCGCCTGCACCGTAATAAACAAAGAAGCAGCAAACAACGGTCTTGTCCGCGAGTTTGCAGGAAACGACGACCCCGTACCACACCAACTCCTGCCATTTATTTTTCACGTGATCATCATCACCATCAACAGTGGTGGTGCCCTGGACTCAAAAAGAGTAGTATCCATCCACACAGCTTTCACTTCTCATTTTCTCCTCCTACTCCCCCTCTCGAATTCAAATGGAGGAGTTCGAAGGAGAGGATCAGTGGGTTTGGGTCAGTAAGCCCAGTGAGGGGGGCTTGGAGTGGTGGGGGTTATCGGATTCGGGTCCAGAAGAGGACCCGTCGAGGTCCGCTAGGGTCGTGTTCACTGAACCCGCGAAGCATTGGACCGATGCAGCTCCCATCGGGAACGGCCGCCTCGGGGCCATGGTCTGGGCGGAGTCACCACCGAAACTCTGCAGCTAAACCGTAATTTTATTTATGTTGCTTCTTTTAACGTCCCTCCTCCCCCCCCCTCCGCATTCATCATTGCATTATTTTATTTTGTTTTGGTACCATAAATTACTGTTATGCCCTGTTTGGATGGAGGGTAGGGAGGAGAAGAGAAATGCAGCTTTCATCGTGGTTGGGAGTTTTTTTAAGGACGATAGAGAGGAGGAAGGAAGGGGAACGTAGAGTAAAATTGCGAATAAATTTTCACTGTATACCCAAAATAATTTATTATTATTAAAATCGACCGATTTTTTTTTTAATTACCAAAATCGACAGGTTTTATGCCACGTAGGCGTAATTCAGTTTCCTAATTAGTCGGGGTTGCCAACCCCGACTGTTTAGGAGTTGTTAAAACGGGTTTTAAGGCTTCTAATCGGGGTTTAACAACTCCTAAACAGTCGGGGTTGGCAACCCCGACTAATTAGGAAACTGGATTAAGCCTACGTGACATAAAACGGGTCGATTTTGGTAATTAAAAAAAATCGGTCGATTTTAATAATTAAAATTCCGTTTGGGTCTACAGTGAAAATTTGTTCGTAAAATTGCTTGGTTTTCTTCCCCCCGATTTGGGCGGTAGAGGAGGGTAAAGGGGTGTAATGACATTCTTATCCCCATCAAAACAAATAAAAAGGTTGACGTGTTATTAGTATAAAGTCATTTATGTAAATTTACATATATTTACTTCCTTTCACCTTCATTCACCTTACTCAACTCCCAAACAACATATTACAATTCCATTCCCTTCCTTTCCCTTCCCTTCCCGTTGTTTACCTTCCCTTCTCTTCCCTTAGGGCTTGTTTGGATTGAGGGGAATGAGGGTGAAGGGAAGTTAGGGGAACCATTCACCTCCATTCACCTTATTTGGGAACACTTAGGAGGTGAAGTTAATTCACCTCCATTCACCTTGGTTCACCCCCTAATAGTATAAAAATTGTTACCCCCAAATTGGGGTGTGTAACCAAGGGGAAGAGAATTCCCTTCCCTTCCCTTCCCTTCCCTTCACTCAGTTTCCCTTAACTTCCCTTCACCCCCTACAAATCCAAACAGGCCCTTACTAAACTCCCAAACACAGCATTAATTAACTATGATCTCCCATCATACAGACGATTGGTAGTCGAAATCTTTATTGTTCCAATTACATACAGGGCTACTGCAATAACTTCTTGCAAATTGTGTAAAACATTGCCATCCCCAAATTTTTTTTATTTAAGAGATATTTTTAAAAATAGTTAAGAAATATTAGTATTCAATGGCTATCTGCACTTCACATTCAGAGGACCCCTTTGGTTTGTGTGAGCCACATTTTTAGAATTCTAAAAAATGCCTTTTTACTTGGAAAAAAAACAAGGAAATGCGCTCACACTTGGAATACAGCATAAAACCTGACAAATCATTAATTCCCTTGACAATTCCACTACAACAGCAGGCATCACGTGCACCAGAATACTATATTATTATACCAATTACGTTCATTTCCAGCACACCGAACACCCTCTCAAAGAGATTCGAAAGAGCAAAGGTGGGCTTGATAAAAGCTTGCTAGTTGTCGTTCAACAACTAAACAAACTAATGATACGACATAGAAAAAATAGTTAGTTTCTTACTCCTTGTTCACTTTTCATAAGAAACTGAAAATTATTAAAATGCCGAGCACCCTTCATTTTCTAGTTACTTTCCATTCACTTTGCACTTGTCAAATAATTAATAAAAAAAACAAAAAGTGAAGACACTTTCTAACTTTTAATCCACTTTCCATTTACTTCTCTGCTGCCAAACGCATGGCATTGCAGTTTTAAACTTTCCATTTACTTTCTATGACAACCAAATATGATACGAAGAAAGTGGATATCAGAACTTCCATTATTTACTTTCCGACTGCCAATACCCCCATAACTATTGCTTATTGCTATATTGAAATTATCATCATTGTATGTACAACTAATTTCCTCCCTCTTTTTCTTATCCTGTTGTTTACTATGCATGTACATTGATCTTCTACTACATAGAACTAAGTTCCTTTTTTATGCCTTGTCCTGTTTACTATGGATCATTTACCAGTAGGCATGTCACTTTGTTGAAGAATTATTTATTTATGTAGATGATACTCTCTGGACTGGTGTACCAGGCGACTACACAAACCCACAAGCTCCTTCTGTTCTTTCGAAAGTGAGAAAACTTGTCGATAGTGGAAAATTTGCTGAAGCTTCCAAGGCAGGATTTGATTTAGCTGGTCAGCCATCAGATGTATGTGGTTTTATCTTGCTTCTTGTAATTCTGATGTTATTTATTTATCATCAATCACAAAATCTGGGCAAAGGTTGTTCATCTTGTTGTGGTTTTTCACTTAGTAGAATTCAAAAATTTTACATTGTTATGGTAGGTCCTTTTTCTTCACTAAATCATAGAAACTATCTGATATTATTATTTAAGCTATAAATTATTTTTTTTCTCAGACATTCTCTTTATTTAATAAGTTGACAAACTCCAAAGGGGAAAAAGAACAGTCCTTTGATCATAGTAGTATCTTGATTTTTCTCTTTCTTTGAACTCATTTCTGAATTCTATTACAAATTATGAAATGACCAATGTCAATAAGATGACACTCTCACCATGGACTAGGGTGTTGATTAGAACGTGTGGATGTAACCTTCTTATGTGATCAACATTACTTCACATCTTTAGGGAGAATTTCGTGTTACTACATGATGGCTTTGCACCTGAATCATAAGATACTTGTACTGCTGCTTTGTATTATTTAGTTAAATGCGGATATAAAAAATATGGATTAGCAGAAGAATGCACTATGAGGGTTTTCTGCATAGATAAACTTTTATATGCTAGCAGCCTATGTTAAGATCGTTCAACTAACTGTTTCCCTTTGGATGAAGGTATACCAACCACTTGGCAGTATTAACCTAGACTTTGGTGATTCTCACATTCCATATTCTTCCTATGGAAGAGAACTTGATTTAACTACGGCAACTGTAACAGTCAAGTATACTATTGATGACATAGAGTTCACAAGGGAACATTTCTCTTCAAATCCGCATCAAGTGCTTGTAACCAAGATTTCTTCAAATAAACCAGGCAGTCTATCCTTTACGGTATCTTTAGACAGTAAATTGCACCACCACTCAACCGTGGATTCTACAAACCGAATTATCATGGAAGGTAGTTGCCCTGGTGATAGAGCCCAACCAAAACTAAATGCATCTAAGAACCCAAAAGGAATTCAATATTCTGCAATTCTTGATTTGAAGATAGGAGGTCATTCTGGTATGATAAAGGTTACAGATGATCAAAAGTTGAAAGTTGAAGGCTCAGACTGGGCTGTTTTAGTTCTAGCGGCTTCTTCCTCATTTGATGGTCCATTTACGAACCCTTCTGATTCTAAAAAGGATCCTACATTGATGTCCTTGAATACATTGAATATGGTTAAGACTTTGTCTTTCTCGGAGTTATTCACCCGCCATTTCGTTGATTATCAGAATCTTTTCAATCGTGTTTCGTTGCAACTGGAAGGCAGGAGTCAGGGAAGTGTGAGAACTCTGAAACCTTCAGAAACTGATTTTCAAAAACAATTATCAAAGGACGTGGTTTCTACAGCAGAAAGAGTAAAATCTTTTAAACTTGATGAGGATCCATCTTTGATAGAACTTTTATTCAATTATGGTCGATATCTACTGATCTCTTGCTCGAGGCCTGGAACTCAGGTTGCAAACTTACAGGGAATATGGAACAAGGACACCGAACCAGCATGGGAGTATGTTCTTTCCTGCTAGTCTTTTTGCATATTCTTTGTTCTCTTATTTTCCTTTACATTTTGCAGGTTTCATAGTTTTTCTTATTTTCTATTCTTTATCTATGTGAACTTTTCATTTTATATTAGAGTCATTGTTTATTTTTCACTTAAAGTAGGGTTCATGTGTAAATTAAAAACAGAACATGTTCTGGAGTCTTCTGTGAATACATGCTTTGAAACTCTGATCTGACATAAATGAAAGGCTATACTCTTGTGTGTTGGGTTTCTGACACACCCATGGACATCTATGTATGGTAGTAGCATTTAGAATACTCATCAAGTAGTATATTATCTCTAGGTATGTTGAAAAGGTACCAGGATCTAGATACAACACAAGTATGGATGTGGGTGTCGAAAGTTATAATATGAAAGAGAATGCCATAATTTTATTAATTATCATTGATGGTACGTATAGTGTTAAATGAAACAAAATAGAATCACTTCCAACCAAATATCCAACTGGTTACAACAAATAATTGAATTCTTCAACACTCCCACTTAAGCTGAAATAGGAAGACACAAACAAGAAAGCTTGCAGATGACTACACATGAGAAGAGGAAGCCATTAAGATTGCACACAAAGGAAAGCGGCCATAAGGCTAAGCAAAGAAAATAGAAGGTCGACGACACTGAACATGAGGAGAAATCGACAGGACATCGCGTGAGAATATGTGGTCAATAGACTTCGCGCGCAAAGATGAAGTTGGTGAGACTGCATTCGAGAAGAGACCAATATAAACTGCATGTGACATGAAGTGGCCGACGGGATTGCATATGAGAAGAGGATGTCAGGAAGAACGCATGCAAGAAAAGGATGCCACATAAAACTGTATGAGATAAGTGGATTGTTGGGCGCAGAGTCACGCCCACCGCCGCGGAAGCGATATCAACTGAGAGAAAGCCCTGGCTTTTATTGTCACAGCTACATCCCTTTCAAGGCAAAGGATAATCGACGCCCGTGCTTCCAGATCTAGCTCCTCCCAATCCTCATCAGACATATCCTTGTGCTTCTTCTCTTTTCCCGCCAAAGCTTTGTGCAATTTCTGCGAAATCAACGTGTTCTTCATCTGCATCCTCCAATAGGAAAAATCATTCTTCCCATTGAATTTTTCAATCTCGTACTTTTCAACTTTAACTGTTTTGCTAGTTGACGCCATTCTCCGCTTGTATTAATAAGTCCGCTTCTCTCAGGAAATTGCCGAGCACCACCTCAAATCAGAAGCTACACCACTCCCAATCTGAATAACAGCTCTGATACCAATTGTTGGGCGCAGAGTCACGCCCACCGCCGCGGAAGCGATATCAACTGAGAGAAAGCCCTGGCTTTTGTTGTCACAAAAGCACAAGTCAACCTCTATATTCTTGTTTCTCAAAGGAAACGAGAATAGATAGTGAAATTCTTATTTCTCAAAGGAAACAAGAACCGAAAGTGATATATTTCATCAAAGTGAAATATACACTCTTCCTCTCATCAGCTCTAAGACCGAATATTGAGGGAACCTACAAGCAATAGCCAACAATCCAGAAAACAGTAAATACACGAGATTTACGTGGTTCGGCAAAATTGCCTACGTCCACGGGAGGGGTGAGGGGAGATTCCACTATGAGAAGAACACCGACGACTTGTACAATCCACAAGCTCGTCTCAAAGAAAAGAGATCTGATTTTTACCCAAAGAAATTAACCTCTCTTTTGTAAATCCCTCAAAAAACTCTCTCCTTTTATCTCTCTTCTAAAAACAGCCGCCAAAAACACCTTGGTTTTCTCCCCGCTTCTGTTTTTCTCCTTTTTCTCTCACTGCATTTTCCCCACAGCAGCCGACTAAAAGTTCCCCGCAGTCTTTTCCCCTTGCTGTAATTTTTCACCCACACAAACCAAAACCCTAGGTCATAGGTATTTATAGGAGAGTTGATGCGGTTATTAAAATGAAACTTGGGCCTGTACCCGCTCACACTTGATTTGAGATGCCAGGCCTCAGCTTTTACCCGCTGGGTATTATACCAAAAAAACTCCTCAAGTGCACTTGGGTGGCCCCCACTTGCTACCGTTGTTCACAATTCTCCACCTCGTACATCATTTGATAAACCTCAAATTTTGGACGAACAACAGAAGAACACCGTGAACATCACCAGAGAGATCTAAAATACCAAACCAGGCCAAACCAGCTGCGTCACTTTACCGTGACTACCTACGTATCCTCCACCGGGATCAAGCTAACCGTAGTTCAGAATTTATTCTCCATATAGTCTCCACCTCACCCCATCACCGCCCCGAAGGGCCATGCCCTCTTGGGCAGATCAACACGGGCTGATATGAAGCAAGTCCAAGCAATGCTTAAACTTGCTACCTGTGACCACCTTGGTCAACATGTCTGCTGGATTCTCATTCGTGTGCACCTTCATGAGAGAAATATCACCTTCCTCTATGACATCCCGCACAAAATGATACCTGACATCAATATGCTTGGTACGAGCACGATGAACTTGATTCTTCGCCAAGTGAATTGCACTCTGACTGTCGCACCACAAGTTCACGTTTTCCTGCTCAATCCCTAAATCATCTAGAAGACCCCACAACCACAATGCTTCCTTCACTCCCTCTGCCATAGCCATGTACTCGGCCTCTGTAGTAGAAAGTGCCACTGTAGCCTGCAACATCGATCGCCAACTAACTGGAGCTTCATGTATTTTGAATACATAACCAGTAGTAGATCGCCGTCTATCTATATCGCCCGCATAATCAGAGTCAACAAACCCGTCAATCTGACATGTATCTCCACCAAAACACAGACCCGTATCTGCGGTACCTTTTAAGTACCTCAGGACCCATTTCACTGCTTCCCAGTGCGCCTTTCCCGGATTCGCCATGACCTGAAAGCCTGAAGTGTGAAGCCAATGGAGTCGTCACCGACTTAGCACTTTGCATCCCGAACCTCGCGATCACCCGCTCTATATAGCCCTTCTGACTCAAGAACAATCGCTGATTCTCCCGCTCTCTTCTAATCTCCATACCCAGTATTTTTCTAGCAGCGCCCATGTCCTTCATCTCGAACTCTTTACCAAGTTGAGATTTCAACCTATCTATCTCCACCCCGCTCTTAGAAGCAATAAGCATGTCATCCACATAAAAAAGGAGATAAATATAATCACATCCACGAAGCTTCTGAATGTAAACACAGCAATCATAATCGCTTCGGGAAAACCCATGCTTCAGCATGAAGGAGTCAAATCGCTTGTACCACTGCCGAGGAGATTGCTTCAGTCCATAGAGTGACTTCCTCAAGCGACATACATGATGCTCCTTATCCTCAACCTTGTAACCCTCAGGTTGATGCATGTAGATCTCTTCATCCAAGTCTCCGTGCAAGAAGGCCGTTTTAACATCGAGTTGTTCCAGCTCAAGATCACCATGAGCAACAATATCTCATTATAATCCACACCCTCTCTTTGTGCAAACCCTTTAGCCACTAGCCTCGCCTTGTACCTTGTATCACCGAGCTCTGAAGGATCTTCCTTTCTCTTATACACCCACTTACAACCAATAGCTTTTCTTCCTACGGGCAATGGGACCACCTCCCATGTTTGGTTCTTCCGAAGAGATTCCATCTCCTCCTCCATCGCAGCCAACCAACTCTCACTATCCTTGTCCCGAATAGCTTCCTTGAAGGAGACCGGCTCATCTTCCTCCACCGAGAGTGCGTATTCCACCAAATTAACCTGCCCATAGTGCTTCAGGGGTTGATCAGCCCCCAGCTTTTGTACCTGCTTGTATACTCGCTTTGGCCTAGTGGAAGCCAAAGTATCCTCGAGCTGCTGTTGTTGTAGTGCCTGTGTATTCTCCTGCTGAACCTCCTCTTGCTCAAGCTCATCATCTACCTGATTTCCCACTTGAACATGACTAGAACCTGGTTGGTCCTTAGGTTCTATCTCAATAACCTGGGACTTTGAAGTCCCAACAGTCCCAACACCATCATCCTTGGGCAACACCATCATCCTTGGGCGTCCTAGCAATCATGGATTTTTCATCAAAGGTAACGTCCCTGGTGATCACGAACTTCGAATCTTCTGTATACCAAAGGCGGTAGCCTTTTACGCCCTTTGCATACCCCAAGAATATCGCCTTCTTGGCCCTCGCGTCAAGCTTTCCCTCGTTGACGTGATAATAGGCGGTACATCCGAAAATTCTGAGCCTCTCATAATCTGCATGTTCCCCTGACCACACCCTATAGGGTGTATCACCATCCAATGTCGAATGTGGAGAACGGTTCACAATGTAACATGCTGTAGCCACCGCTTCTGCCCACCATTCGTTGCCCAATCCAGCATAAGATCGCATACTCATTGCCTTTTCCCGCAATGTTCGGTTCAGTCTTTCCGTGACCCCGTTCTGCTGTGGTGTTGACCTGACTGTCCAGTGTCGAACAATGCCCTCCTGATCACAGAACTTCTTGAAAGCACCATCTGTATACTCTGTACCGTTGTCAGATCTTAGTGTCTTCAATTTCTTGCCCGTCCTGTTCTCAACCATTGCTTTCCACTTCTTGAATGTCTCGAATACCTCATTCTTATGCTTAAGAAAATAAATCCAAGCATATCTCGAATGATCATTTATGAACGAGACAAAATACCTGGAACCACCCTTGGAAGTTGTCTGAGCCGGACCCCAAACATCCGTGTGTACATAATCTAGTATACCTCTGCTCTTGTGATTGCTTTTCAAGAATTGGACCCTGTGCGCCTTTCCATACACACAATCCTCGCAAAAATCCATGCAAGGTTTCTTCAGATTCTTCAGCAAACCCTCCTTACCAAGCAGAACTAGACCCTTCTCTGACATGTGCCCAAGCCGCCTATGTCATAACCGTGTGTGCTCACATGGGTCTCCACCACTTCCTTCAATTCCAACCGCTGCATCTTCTGTCACCGTTGTACCCGAGAGAGTATATAGATTACCGTGACGAACACCCTTCATCACTGTTAGGGAACCTCGAACAACCTTCTTTACTCCATTCTCTGTAACAATTTTGCAGCCACCGGAGTCTAATGCACCCACTGAGATAAGATTCTTCCGCAAGTCGGGAACGTGTCGCACGTCCGTTAGGGTTCTGACCACTCCATCATGCATCTTGATTTTTATATCACCGAGCCCCACCGTTTTACAAGCATGGTTATTCCCCAGCAATACAGTTCCACCATCAATGCTCCTATAGGTAGTAAACCACTTCCTATTTGGGCACATGTGGTAAGAGCAACCTGAATCAAGTATCCACTTACCGGAGGTATCTTCGCCACCCGTAACAACATAGCATTCTTTATCGCTCCCTTCCTCCGATGCGTAACTCGCCTCTTCCTTGCCTTCTCTTCTCTCGGTCTTGTTGTTGTTCTTTTTCCCACCTACTCTCTTGTTAGGACAGTCAACCTTGAAATGCCCAACTTCACCGCATTTGAAGCACGCTCGTCCCGGCAAGAGGTCTCGATTTAGATCTAGACTTTCCTCCCTTGCCTTTTCCTCGCTCATTGCTCCTTCCTCTAGCAAACAATCCATGCGCTTGTTCTTTGTTACCACCAGTAGTCATATCACCGGTTACAATCTTCCGAAGGTCATCCGCTAGAAGCGCCGTTCTAGTCTCATTCATCGTCAAATTGTCTCCCACAAGCATCAATGTTTGCACCAGGTTCTCATAAGACTTCGGCAGAGATAGAAGTAATAGAAGAGCCTGATCCTCATCTTCTACAGTCACATCGATGTCCTTCAGATCCGATATAATCCTATCGAACTTGTTGATATATTCCCGGATTGATGAGCCCTCCTCCATCTTGCAAGTATATAATTTGGATTTCAAATAGATCCGGTTTGTTAGACTCTTCGTCATGAATGTGCTTTCTAACTTTAACCACACACCCGCAGCCGTTTCCTCTCCATCTACCAAGAAAGCTACATCCCTTTCAAGGCAAAGGATAATCGACGCCCGTGCTTCCAGATCTAGCTCCTCCCAATCCTCATCAGACATATCCTTGTGCTTCTTCTCTTTTCCCGCCAAAGCTTTGTGCAATTTCTGCGAAATCAACGTGTTCTTCATCTGCATTCTCCAATAGGAAAAATCATTCTTTCCATTGAATTTTTCAATCTCGTATTTTCCAACTTTAACTGTTTTACTTGTTGACGCCATCCTCCGCTTGTATTAGTAAATCCGCTTCTCTCAGGAAATTGCCGAGCACCACCTCAAATCAGAAGCTACACCACTCCCAATCTGATTAACAGCTCTGATACCAATTGTTGGGCGCAGAGCCACGCCCACCGCCGCGGAAGCGATATGACCTGAGAGAGAGCCCTGGCTTTTGTTTTCACAAAAGCACAAATCAACCTCTATATTCTTGTTTCTCAAAGGAAACGAGAATAGATAGTGAAATTCTTATTTCTCAAAGGAAACAAGAATTGAAAGTGATATATTTCATCAAAGTGAAATATACACTCTTCCTCTCATCAGCTCTAAGACCGAATATTGAGGGAACCTACAAGCAATAGCCAACAATCCAGAAAACAGTAAATACACGAGATTTACGTGGTTCGGCAAAATTGCCTACGTCCACGGGAGGGGTGAGGGGAGATTCCACTATGAGAAGAACACCGACGACTTGTACAATCCACAAGCTCGTCTCAAAGAAAAGAGATCTGATTTTTACCCAAAGAAATTAACCTCTCTGTTGTAAATCCCTCAAAAACCTCTCTCCTTTTATCTCTCTTCTAAAAACAGCCGCCAAAAACACCTTGGTTTTCTCCCCGCTTCTGTTTTTCTCCTTTTTCTCTCACTGCATTTTCCCCACAGCAGCCGACTAAAAGTTCCCCGCAGTCTTTTCCCCTTGCTGTAATTTTTCACCCACACAAACCAAAACCCTAGGTCATAGGTATTTATAGGAGAGTTGATGCGGTTATTAAAATGAAACTTGGGCCTGTACCCGCTCACACTTGATTTGAGATGCCAGGCCTCAGCTTTTACCCGCTGGGTATTATACCAAAAAAACTCCTCAAGTGCACTTGGGTGGCCCCCACTTGCTACCGTTGTTCACATGGATGCTTACTAGATGTGAAGAGAGGAGGGCCACAATGTCATCATTTTGGAGTAGACTGGTGGTGAAAATTACTGATGGTATGATAGTGGTTGAGGATTGATGGTGGTGGAAGTTCTGAATATGAAGCTAGTCATGAAGAGGAAGCCGTTGAAGTGCAGACTGTAAAATCCCTGTTGACAGTCCAAGGTCTAGAAAGAAAAACACGCTCCAGATCTGGAAAACCTACAAATACAATGATACCATCTAGAAAACTATAATATCGAAGAGAATGTGTTAATTTTATTAATTGTCGTGGAGGTACATATAGTGTTGGGTGTAATAAAATAGAATCACTTCCAACCTTATATCCCAAAATGGTAGGAACTGGTTATACAAGATAGAATCACTGAATCAGTCACAACAAACATTTGAATTCTTCAACAGTGGGTATATGACAAAATCTTTGAAATTTATATGTTCTGTGTTCGACAATAATTAAATTATGTTTGGTACATGCATTTATATTCTTTATCTATAAAATGGATTTGCAAAACCACAATGGTTAAACAATACACAATAAAATAGACAGTATAAATTGTCCTCAGCTAAAGGAAACAATAGCTACAACTTACAAGTTTTATCATAATTTTTCACTAAGATAGTGGACAAAACATATACATATCTACAAATTAATGTAATATTAAACTCGTTAATTCATCTGTTTAATGTGATGTAATTGGTTCTAGGATGCAACGATATGTTAAAGAAGTATTAAAAGATTTCCATCAGATAAAATACATATAGATATGGCTACCTTTCTTTTATCTAAGAGCGAAGATATAGATCTATGTAAATGCACACTTATGGTTCACCTTTCCTGTGGTTGTTTGATCACACTTAAATATCCGTGGATTTCTACTAGTGATCATCTATTCTTATTAGTCACACAATTGTCAATTTCTATATGGAGTTACTACGTTCATTTTGATGTTTCACATGGATAATCTTAGTGTTGTTTACTTCTTCAGTGCAGCTCCTCACTTGAATATCAATCTACCGATGAATTATTGGCCATCTCTTTCTTGCCATCTCAGTGAATGTCAAGAACCATTGTTTGATTACATTGCTTCACTTGCAGTCAATGGGGCAAAAACAGCACGAGTAAGCTTCACTTTCCTTCCACAGTGAAATATTATAATATAGATTTTAAGTCAATGTGCGACACTGTACCCACATCATGCTACATGGACGTGTTTGCATTAAGAATATGCAACTTTAAAGTATTAAATATAACAATTTTTCACATCTGGAAGGTTTTTTTTAAGCTTCTGGATTTTTTTTTCTTTTTTTGCCTTTGTTTTTCTCTCTGCCTTAGTGGTTATTGAAAATAGAGAGAAAACCCCTAACTTTATTACTCCATAAGATGGGCTTATATAGGCCCTTACTACACAACTTACAAATAACACCCTATCTATTACTAATATGTCAACACTCCTCCTCAAGATGGACGAAAGATATCCACTAAGCCCATCTTGTCACACCAGTAGTCCACTGTCCAACTTCTCTTTGATGAAGAACTTATCGATCTTGATGTGTTTGGTTCTATCATGCTGCACTGGGTTGTTGGCGATACTGATGGCTGACTTGTTATCACACCACAGCTTCATCTTTGCTCCTTGATCCAGTTTCAGCTCCACCAACATACTCTTCAACCACAACAATTCCGCGACTCCCAAGGTCATAGCTCTATACTCTGCTTCAGCTGTTGACCTCGCCACCACTGACTGCTTCTTGCTCTTCCACGAGACCAAGCTGCCTCCTATAAAGATACAGTATCCTAAGATGGACCTCCTGTCATCAGCACAGCTAGCCCAATCTGAGTCACAATAACCCTCGATGCTCACATGTCCATTCTTTCTGAATACCAGCCCATTTCCGGGGGCACTCTTCAAATATCTCAGAATCTGGTACACAGCATCCATATGATCCTTCCTCGGATCGTGCATGTAGCGACTCACTACGCTCACTGCAAAAGAGATATCAGGACGTGTGTGACTCAAATAGATTAACCTTCCCACCAGCCTCTGGTATCTGTCACGATCAACTGGTTCTCCAGCCTCAACACCTAGCTTGAACTTCTGGTTGATCGGTGTAGTTGCAGGTTTGCACCCTAACATCCCTGTCTCTTTGAGAAGATCCAGTGCATACTTTCTCTGGGATAGGATGATTCCCTCCGCTCCTCGAGCTATCTCTATTCCAAGAAAGTATCGAAGCAAGCCAAGATCTTTCACCTCGAATTCCTTACCCAGTCTTACTTTGAGTTGAGCAATCTCCTTCTCATCATCTCCTGTAATAATCATATCATCCACATATACCGTCAGCATGGTAATGTGGCCTCCGCTTCGTCGAAAGAACACGGTATGATCGGCGTTGATCTGCTGGTACCCCATACCAATCATAGCCCTTCTGAATCTGTCAAACCAAGCACGAGGAGACTGCTTCAGCCTATAGAGACTTCTTTAATCTACAGACCTTTCCCACTGTCTGATCTGTACCGAATCCTGGTGGTATCTCCATGTATACCTCCTCCACTAGATCTCCATGAAGAAATGCATTCTTCACATCTAGTTGGTGTAACTTCCATCCACCATTTATTGCCAGAGAGATTAAGGTCCGAACAGTGCTCATCTTCGCCACCGGTGCAAAAGTCTCATCATAATCGATGCCATATGTCTGACTATACCCTTTTGCCACCAGACGAGCCTTGTAGCGTTCAACTTGTCCATCTGGATTCTGCTTCACAGTGAAAACCCACTTGCACCCAACTGCTCTCTTCCCTTCTGGTAATTTTACTAGTTCCCAAGTGCGGTTCTTCTCAAGAGCTCCTAGCTCCTCATGCATAGCTGCTTTCCACTTTGGGTCCTTCTTAGCAACCTGTCAATTGTTAGGTACAGTAACAGAATCCAATGATGCAATGAATGCTCCATGTGCAGGGTGGATATTAGAATATGATATAAACTGGGCAAGATCCCAACCATATCTATCGGGAGGATGTCCCGCATTGCTGCGAGTAGTCCTCCGTACTGACATTGGTGTGGGAGGAGTAATGAGAGGATTGATATCACCTTGGGAGGAATCTGATGGTGGTGTAGGTGTCTCAGGAGTCGGGACAGACGTTGATAAGGGACCTGGCACTAGTGGCACTGTAGGTACTGTTTCCGCAATTTGCTTTCCCTTCCTACTATAGGTAAGTAGCTCTCCCTGAGCCGTGGGCCTAACACTTCTTGTCTCCTTATCCTCTTCTTCTTTATTCTCCTGCTCCTCCTCAACCAATTCTCCTTCCCAAGGAATCGTTAGAGAAATCGATTTCTCCACATTATTCTCTACATTATTCATCTGCCTCTCATCATTCTCCCCTTCTCGCCTCATACTTCCAGTATTAGGCGAGTCACCAACGGATGATGGTACCTTTTGTGTGTAATATGGCTCAAATTCACGAAAGTACACATCCATGCTCACGAACAGCCTTTTCTCCACCGGGCTCCAGCAAACATATCCCTTTTGAGTAGCAGAATATCCCACAAAAATGCACTTCACCGCTCTAGGGGCAAGCTTCCCGACGGATGGTCTGTTATCCTTCACAAAACACACACAGCCAAATACCTTCAGTGGAAGAATCCCACCATTATCTCCTTTCAACGTCTCACACGGAGACTTCCAATCCAGTACTCTCGAGGGCATTCTGTTGATCAGCGCCGCTGCAGTCAACACTGCTTGCCCCCACAATGTTTCTGGGACATTCATGGAGATCATCATACTTCTAGCAACCTCTAAGAGATGTCTGTTCTTCCTTTCTGCTACCCCATTCTGAGCTGGTGTGTATGGACATGTAGTCTGGTGTTGTATTCCCTGAGATGACAAGTATTCTCCAAACACTCTGTTGGTGTACTTTGTCCCATTATCAGATCTCAATACCTTCACCACTGCTTCATATTGGGTCTGAACATTCCTATGAAAGTTTTGAAAGCAGCTAAACACTTCACTCTTATTCTTCATCAGGTATAACCAAGTAACGCGAGAGAAGCAATCAATGAATGTAACAAAATACTTGTATCCGTTCATAGAACTTGTGGAACAAGGCCCCCAAAATACTTGTATCCGTTCATAGAACTTGTGGAACAAGGCCCCCAAACATCTGAATGTATCAGATCAAAAGCATGAGAACTCCTATGATCAGAACTAACATAAGAGCTTCTAGTAAGCTTTCCCAACTTACATGCATCACACACAAGTTTCTCTTTATTTGCTTTCTCAAATAAAGATGGATACAATCTACTTAAAGTACCAAAGGATGAGTGTCCCAAGCGCTGGTGATGAAGCATCAATTCACTCTCGGCACTCATTTCAGATCCTACTCCTGCTCTCTCTACCATTGACACCAAAGCTGAGTCCAGCCCCTCACGATCCAAGTACCACAGTCCATTACTCCACGTGCCAGTCCCAAGTCTCCGTCCTGTCCCTTTCTCCTGGAAGATCACCTTGGGAATGTCAAAAGAAACGATATATTTTAGTTGGAGGATAATAGCACTAATGGACAAAAGATTTACTGGAAAGGAAGGAGTATGCAAAACATTGGACAGAGTTACAGAACCTGTACAATTAACGGTGCCCTTACCAACCACAGGCTGAAATGTACCATCAGCTGTTTGGATGCTATCTGCTGATGCTAGGTGAGTGTATGACGAGAACTCACTAGCGTTGCCCGTCACATGTCGAGATGCACCGGAGTCGACAATCCATTCTGATGGTCTATTGGGAGACATAGAAGCAAGAGCATGTATGTCATCCGTACCTTTGGTCGGATGAGCATAAGTAGCAGAGTTGCCTTTGGATGTCTCCTCAGTTCCACTTCTTCTGTCCCCATCTCCTGCTACTCTCTGCTTCATTCGAAGAATCTCCAGGGGCATATGGTCCTCCTCAGTAAAGATCATCTCAGTTGCTTCCTCTTCCTCTGCTACCATTAGATTCGCCCGATTCCCTGCTCCTCTTCCACCTCGTCGACCCCCACGGCCACGACCACGACCTCCGAACTGTACACGTCCACCCGAATCTTCTTCCTTGGGTGGCTTGGTGCAAGCATGCCTTAGATGACCCACTGTACCGCAGTTGTAGCATTGTCGAGTCTCTCCCCTAGATCCAGTGTTGCTAGAGGCTGCCATTGCTGACTTCATCACAGGAAGTCCACCTGTCCCCACCTGCAGCTGAATGCGAGTCTCCTCCTGGATCATAGCAGAGACAGCCTCCTCAAGTGTGGGAATCTTCGGCTGAGCTAGTAGCAATGCGATTCGCTGAGCGAACTCTGATGTCAATCCCTTGAGAAACACCATAGTCCTCTCCTGTAGAAAGGCCTCCCGTTCTTTACACCCCGGGTCCTTGCAGCCACAGGCGCTCCAACTCTGTAGCATATTCCTGTACAGTCCTCTCTCCCTGGACTGTGGCATCGATCTCTCCTTTAATCTGGAATACCCTCAGGTTATTCCTCACTCCATCATATGTCCTCAACTTCTCCCAGACGTCCTTCACCTTCTCAATGCCATCCACCATGGCGGCGATCGTCGGGACCAACGAGTTGAGAAGCCATATGTACACCAACATATGAGTGGACTTCCAACCCTCCAGATTCCTCCCTGCAAGGGTATATCTCACCCGCCGTGACCAGCTCAGGTACGTACTAGGTCCATCCAGCTTCAGATCGATGGTCGGAAGCTCCAACTTCTTCGATGGTTTTGTCGCACTCTCACCAGCCGACAACTTCATTAGCTTCATCAAAGTTGAAACCTCCGCGGGGTTCAGCTTCTTGATGATCTCCTCCATCGAATAGGCTTCAGACCCACCACCTGTTCACCTTCTCTTCCGACCCTTGTTGTGTGCAATAACAATTTCGGCAGCACCTCTGCTGCACAACAAGAGTAGGATCTCAAACAAATTCTCGTTTCTCAGAGGAAACAAGAACCAAAACCAGTTATATATCTCATCAATGTGAGATATATACTCTTCCTGTCATCAGTTCGAGGACTGAGTCAAGGGAACCAATGCCAAACTCTAGGTCCGACATGGCGCAGCAGGGGGGGCTTGAGGTGGCAGCGGCTAGGAAAGGGTTTGGAGGTGGAGACAAACTCTAGGTCCGACATGGCGCAGCAAGGGGTGGGGGGGCTTGAGGTGGCAGCGGCTAGAAAGGGGTTTGGAAGAGGGTCAGGGGGGGTTCTGGGGTCGGTCAGGTCTGGGGTCTGAGGTCGGTCAGGTGGGGCTGTTTGATGAGTGGAGATCAGGTCGGGGGTTTGGAAGAGGGTCAGGGGGGGTTCTGGGGTCGGTCAGGTCTGGGGTCTGAGGTCGGTCAGGTGGGGCTGTTTGATGAGTGGAGATCAGGTCGGTCAGGTGGGGCTGTTTGATGTGTGGAGTGGGGC